TTTGGAATTTCTAAGTTATAGGAATTGTCATACAATTGTTCAAAATGTACTTGAGTATTTATTATGGGCCAGGCACTGTTCTAGGCACTGGGATAAAAAAGTAAAAAAAAAAAAAAAAACAAAAACCAGATTCTGTTCTAATGCAATTATATCCCAGTAATGGAAGATTAAAAAAAAAAAAAAGTAATTATGAATATTACTAAAAAGAACCAAATAAGTAAACAAATATAGTAAACAAAGCAGACACAGGCTTTGCAGAGAATTTAGGTAGGGTGATCTGATAAGAGGTGACTGCTCTAGATTGGACAGTCTGGAAATATCTTTCTATGGAGTGACTCCTAAACTGAATGACAAGAAGGCTTTGGCTCCTCAGTGATCAAAGAGACAGTATTCCAGGCATAGATAACAGATGCAAAAGCCTCAAGGCAGGAATAAATTTAACATATTCAAAAGTCAGAAAGAAAACTAGTGTGGTTGGAGCTTGGTGAACAAAAATGGAAGTGAGAAGCGGTGAAGAGAGAGAACAAAGTAAGGGTCAGATCATTGTGAACTTTGTAAAAAGGGAAATAAATGGAGTAGGAGACAAAAGAAGAAAAAGAGTAAATAAATGGAAGAAGTCAAGGAGAAAGGAGGGGAAGAAGAAAGGAAGACAAGACAGCAAACTTCTTGCAGCCATAAAATACCACTGCTATCAGAAAGCATAAAATCTTGTGAAGGATATAAACCCTTAATGTAAAAACATAGAAAAAAAAGACAATCAACAGAATTCTGAGGGAGAATTAAATCAGACTGGGGTGGGGTAATACTGCCCTTGACTGGAACGTTCACAAGATGTGAATGCCCAGCATGGGTTTGGCTAGATGTCAGGGGGAGAAAGCCAGAAATCATCGAAAGACACTCATCTTAAATCAAGTTATTAGAACTACAAAACTTTTATTAAAATGGAGTTTGTTTCTGGGAGATTATATAGTACAGAAACCAGGTTAGGGCCAAACTCTGATTACAGGCGCATAAAGAAGAAACAGATACACGGGTCATGAAAGTAGTGGTCTGAAATTTACAAAGAGCGAAGGACACAAATCAATACGATAGAGGTTCAGTAGAAAACGAAACTATTTTAGGTCAAAGGACAAAAGAAGTGCTTCTTAGAGAAGGTGAGCGTTGATTATGCCCAAACCAGAATGGGTTGTGTTTGAGAGAATGTGCCTCCCACTGAATGTTCTACAGGCCACACTGTACAGAATCACAGGCACAGTTTTGTAGCCCAACCTTAGTTGTGTCTGGGCTCTCAATTACTCTGAAACTCGTGGGTCCTTTTGTGAAAAGAGGAAGTATATATTACCTTATTTTTCTTAATATCTCTATTCCTGAACAAGTTACTCCTGGAAATTATACTTTATTTATTTATTTTTAAAGATTTATTTATTTATTAGAGAAAGAGACCATGAGCAGGAGGAGTAGAGGGAGAGAGAGACCCTCAAGCCGATTCCACCCTGAGCGCGGAGCCCAACTCAGGGCTCTATTTCAGGCCCCTGAGATCACAACCTGAGCCGAAACCAAGAGTTGGAAGCTTAACGGACTGAGCCAACCAGGCGCCTCCTGGAAATTATACTTTCTGGTCATAATTCACAAGCATGTACCTACAAATCTCAAATATAATGAAGTTAGACTTCTATAATCAAGCCTGAACCATTAAGCTTTCTCATCAAAACATGGCAATGATATAAGTATCCTACCTATCTTGACATGTCATTGGATGTTCCTGGAAAATTATAACTCATACATAAGAAAATTATTTTTATTATAAGCAGTGCTAAAATTCAAACTCTATTCTCTTGATCTGCAGAATATTGATCTACTGCACAATGGCTCTCTGTAAGCTTCTTAACTGATTTTTCAGGTTAGTTGAAGGGGGAAAAAAAGCAGAGATAACATTTTGAAAGGACTAATATATAAGCCATTGTTATTTGTACTTCATCATCTGTCTTATTGGAACAGAGCAAAGTTAAGGATAATTTTAATGGTACATAATCCAACAGTCATATGTACTTGGCATTGATGTGTGTTTTTGTACTTTTATTTGAATAAAAGGGTGTCTGGTGTTCTGGTAATCGAACTAAAACAAAGTAATGAAGTCACAGTGACAATATCTCGTTCAGGATTTCCTCATGGTAAGGTTCCTCAATTTAATGTCTCTGCACCTTAATCCATGCAGACTGACATTGCTCTGGATGTATATCACCTTTTTCTCCTCTGAATAAAGAAACCTATTTATTTCACAAAAGCCAATGGAATACTTACTGGGTGAATGACATTGAACAAAAAATTAATAAGTCAACATAGCAGAATGGGATAAAGAGACACAGAAAACATCCACATTAGGAAGTGGTAAGAATTAAATGAGAGCTCCTTGTTACTTCCCCTCCTACCCAGAGATAACTTTGCTGCCAATGACATAGGGAGCTATCAGGCAGGAAAGCATAGCCTGCTCTTTTCCATTTCAATATGTTGTATAACTGGAGAGTTTCGACTGCTCTTCTTTAGAAAACTCAAGTAATAAAAAAAAATAATAAAAACAAAATAAAAACAAAAAGAAAACAATAACAGAAATCTCCTTCCAACTACCTTCAGATTTGAGGAATGTAGCTAGGTGAAACTACTCATCATCAAGATAATTTTTACATTGACTATATTTTGGCTCTGTAATACAGTTCCTAACTTCAGTGCTGGTCCTGACAGTTTTCCAGCTCGGTAGTAGAATTAACTGCCTAAGACCCCACACAATGCAACAGAAAATCTCCAAAACTGAGACCTTAATGGTGTATTAAATTTAATTTGACATCCAGAAGAGACCAAGGTCATTAATTGGAAATACATGCCATCAGGCAATTTAGAGCCATCTATCTAGTTCACCTACTCAAACAATCTACTGGATTTTCCAAGCAACAGTTGGTTACATTAACCACCCAGCTCTAATTAAATCTGCAGGTGGTCTATTTGGCTAATTTAAAAAGAAACTTTCATAAATCTTGGGAAAGTTCCTTTGTAACAGATATAAAATCCTAGTCGCTACTAGGATTTAGTAAAGAAAGGGGTCTTGTTATCTTTACTATATCTTTCCCTTGTGGCTTTTTTTGTTTGTTTATATAACAAATGGTATATTCATTTTTGTATTAATGAGCTATGCAAGTTCAAGAAGTGTCTCATCCTACTAAGAAAGACAAATTCACTGAAAAGCAATAATGTTGTTTTCCTGCATGATAACTACCATTAGTTGTTCAAGATTAAATTAGTCAAAGAACTCTTCCAATGGAAATTAACTTATAATACATTATGGCACCACTTGTGATCTTGGACTATCTACTAGAATGGGGTCAATAATAATAGCAAAGAAAAACAAGACAAATGCAAAACACGCTATGAAGAAAATTTAACTAACAATGAAGTGCAGATCATAACAGTTATATTTTGAATGCTAAAATCATATTTAGCAAAAGGGACTTTTAAAAACACAAAATATTCACCACTTTTTTTTAAAATGTAGGCCATCATGCTTCATACTTATTAAATTAGTTATTCCAAGCAATATGATCACATGAGGAAACATCTGTCACAGATACATAGAAATTTAGCAATTTTTTTTTTAGGATTCCATTCCACAGGTAGATGGACATATAATGATATTTTCTAGGTTGAACTTAAATGAAAGTAGTTCACAATTACCCAGTCCAGCATTGATGAACCAAAGAATCTTAACTGCCCAGAACTAGATTTTGAATTTTTATCTTTTAGACCTATGTCTTACATCTAATAATTCTGTATTTCACTCTTGAAATAAAAAATAATCACTCATTAGTCCTTGAATAAAGGCTTAAAAGTTACTCTACTACTGTATTCATATTGAGGACGATAAAAGGAGCAGAATGAAATTATTCTAGAAGGTTTAGTCATAACCAAAGCAGAAGCCAGGAATAATCACAGGGAAACAGGGGATAATTTAATGACATTACTAAAACAGTGGGAATCCCTACACTACCTGGATGATTAGGAAAAGGGTTATTAGCTAAGCCATTGTCTGAAACCCACTGAGTCACTGGTCCCTTTGAAAAATGATTGGTCATTCTTTTCTAAAGATGGGCTTTTAAATTTAAGAGAAGCTTTAAGCAGCAGAGCTGAAAGATAAAAAGAACACAGATCTTGCATGGGTTTAGATTTCTCTTCTTAGGCAAAGGATTGAGGTAAGATATCAAAATCTTTGCTTTCATAATTTTAAGAGCCCAAATCAGTCAATTCGGAAGGTTAAACTACCAGGGTCCCCTCAATGCTTATATAGATCAGTAATTTGAATTAGGGCAGGAGTTTTTACACGTGGAGGACAAGAGCTAATATGCTTCCACAGGTTGCATTATAAATCAATATTACAGTTTCATTTCATAATCTTTCCTTAAATTAGAAAAATATTGACTCAGTTGCTCAGTTTCAATATATTTTATGTTACTAGACTTTTAAATGGACTTGTATCTGTTATCGGACTATTGTCAGATCTTTATTGTAGTATTTTTACTACTACGTTAAATAGACATTAAAACTGTTTTCATAATAAAGACCTAGTTCATTGACCCCAGTCATGGGCCACCCATGATCAGAAGGACCCATTCCCTGATGTACAGAACAGCGCAAGTGATGAGGCCATCTTGTTCATTAACTCATTCAACTACATCACATGCCACCAAATGAATCATTTGGTCAAGCTAAAAGGGCAAGCAAACAATTCTGGTTTTTGTAAACAGCTGCTCTGAGAAAAAGAATTATTTCTGTTATAAATATTTATAAATCTACCTTTTTTATTTTAAATCCTAATATATAAGTAAATACTATAGAATTCACCCAACTACTCTTCTGATTGAACAATACCAACCACTTATTGTTATGATTTTTAGGATAGAGGGTCTATTTAAAGCTCAATTTCACACCTTATTTTCTAGATATTTCATCTGAAAATGAAAACCATAATTCTTCTTGGGCTACTGGGAGCCACAATGTCAGCCCCAGTAAGTGATTTCATGGTACATCTAAAATCATCCTGTGAAACCTGTAACAAATCCTTCTTTGACCATTTCTGGGTTTTATTTTTTAGCTTATCCCACAGCACCTGATGTCTGCAAGCAACAGCAATGAGGTTAGTTTAAATACATACAACAAGCTCTCCATTTTTTTTTTTTTTAGGGAAACCCAGGGGAGAAGAGATAAAAACCTTCATTTTCTAGCTCGCACTTTCTCAAATAAACAAACCTTAAAAAGGAGGGGGGAAAGGCACCTGGGTGGCTCAGTCAATAAAGCCTCCTACTCTTGATTTTGGCTCAGGTCAAGATCTCAGGGTCTTGAGATCTAGTGCCCCTCCTTGGGCTCCACAATCAGCAGAAAGTCTGCTTGAGATTCTCTCTCCCTCTCTCTCCCCCTGTCCACCATGCTCTCTCACTCTTTCTCTAAAATAAATAAATAAATCTTTTTAAAAAGCCTTAATTAATTTATCCTGCATTCCTATCCACTAGCTCTTATATCTGAATGCATTTCCAATGTTCATGTTTATTTGGTATACCAGGTTTTTTCTAGAATATTATTTTGCTCCCTTGTGTGACTGTAAATTCTTTAAAGGCAGAGACAGTATCTCATATATCTTTTTATTTTAATAGCACCCAATATGGGTGTACACAGGTGTTTAAGAGCATAAAAATGACTGACTAAACCACTGGAATGGGCTGAAGTTGTGCAATCTCAGACCCAGCAGGGGAGAGGTCGTTAAATCCCATTCTCTAATCACTGTAATTTAGTACAAGCTTAGTGAGAAAACACCCCTAGCAGGAAACTGATTGGTCAGCCCTGGCTTGTTCTATATTTGTAGTAAATCTTGTTCTTGATAGTTTTAGCATCTGTACTCATCTTGTTTTCATATTATCTTTCCTTTTCTAGTTACTTCTGAGTCTTAATAATGCTCAACTTCAGCCCCTACAGCTTCAGGTACCTCAATAATTATTTTAAGAATATTTTTCGACTGCTTAGTTCTTATAGTACTTTGTAGAGAACAAAATGTTTACTGATTTCATTTCTGAAATCTCAATTTTTAAGGTTATGAATTTGTCCGATATATTCTAACGACCATTTATTTGAAGACAAAAGTAAACGTTGCAATCTGATTAACATTTACTTATTGAAAACTTGGTAAGTGCCAGGCACAAATTCTCACAACTGTGAGATAAATTAACTACTTACACAAAGTCATACTCAACTGTTAAAAAAAAAAAAAAAAGGACTTAAAACCAGTCTGGCAACTGCAGAAACCATACTCTTTATCCATCTCATTCTGCCCCATATTTTTTATGGCCATTGGGAAGTTGGCATTCTTCATGCTATTTGCACAGCTCATAATGTGCTAAGATGCCATCCTTTTTTATAATGCAGCAATGGAATTACAGAAATTGTCTACATTTTGCCTTTTTCTTGCTTAGGACTGATTTTAAATTCTTTTCAAAATGAAAGAAATGCTTCCTTTCTTCCTTTTGTGTCCTTCCAGGGCCCATTTAATTTATGGATCCCTCCTTTCTCTGGGATCCTGCAACAGCAGCAGCAAGCTCAAATTCCGGGGCTCTCTCAGTTCTCTTTACCAGCTCTTGACTGGTTTGCTGGACTGCTCCCCAATCAGGTACCTTTCCCAGGACGGGTCAGTTTTGCCCAAGGAACCCAGGTGGGACAGCTGGACGCCTCACAGCCTCAAACACCACCGCAGACCCAGCAGGGCCCTAATCACGTAAGTCGGGCCTCTCCTATCCTGTTGTTCTGAGGAGAGAGAACACATACTGAATGTGAAAATGAGTAAGAATCAGCTTTAAAAGAAGACAGCAGTTACTGAGAAAGACTTCTTTCTCATAATTTGCTCTACCATCACTGGAAATACTTCCTTTTCTGATTTCTAACATGAAAAATACCATTTAAATCAGCTCTTCTATCACAGCCACAAGTTAAGAGTATTAAAAACATGTCCGAGAAAAGATAATTAGGGAAATTTCATCTTTAAAGAAGAAACAATTTGCATTAATGATATACATATAATACATGACCTTTGTTGTCATAGAAGTCTTTTTTTTTTTTTTAAAGATTTTATTTATTTATTTGACAGAGAGAGAGCGAGAGCAGGAACACAAGCAGGGGGAGTGGGAGAGGGAGAAGCAGGCTTCC